AAAAAAAAAAACAAAAACAAAACAAAACTCAGCTGGGTATGGGGGCCCACACCTGTAATCCCAGCATTCAGGAGGTTGAGGAAGGAAGGAGGACTGCAGCTAGCTTGAGGGAGTTCAAGGCCAGCCTGAACTACCACCCAGAGAGGCCCTGTCTCAAAAAAAGAATCCTCACTATGTGGTCCTGAAACTACTGACCCTCCTGCCTTCAAGCTCCATAGTGCTGGTACGAGAGTCTTTGCCACCATGCCCAGTTTATTTTCCTTTTCTTTAGGAGATTAACAGCGGGGAAGGGAGAGAAAAAAAAAGAAGCTCTGGATGGAAATTACAGATGACATTTGTTAAGGATTCAACTACCCTATCACTACTGGAGGAAAATGGCAGTGAATCTAAATGTCAACATATTCTGGAATTCATAAGAATAAAAACCTTAGACAAAAAGGAACAAAGAAACACGAGTACATCTAGTAATTACAGAAATAAGTGCATTTTCAGAAGCCACAGAAATGTAGTTATCCAACGTAGGTAACTTTTTCTGGACTAAATCCTTAAATTACCCATATGGCCGAAAAATAAACTATCAGTACATATCAACAAGTAACTAGAAAAATCCATTTGCCATTAACCTTTAACCTTAAAATCGTCGTCTTTGTTTCAGGTACAGTCAGCTCTTTTACTAGATTACACAATCACAAACTAACTATTGCTAAAACAGAGTCTCAAGTTCAAAGTGGGTTTTGTTGATCACTGGAAGGCTGATAAAAACAGGCAATGAAACCTGGCTGGCACGTGATAACCAATTCCATACTCAGTAAATATACAAAATACCAAAGCCTACTTGTTACCACAGCTCCCGCACGTAGGCCCAAGAAAAATAAAAATAAAAACCGTCCAATGATGCCCTTCCTAAGCAGATTTTCAGACGCCCACAGGGTTCAAGATCACCTGTCCAAAGGTAAGCAGTAAAGCAGAGCAGAGCTGCCCGGTAGGGCAGAGAAGCAGGCTGAGCTTCTTTCTACCTCTTGCTTTTGCTTCTGGCTTTCAGGTAGCTAAGGGTGGGCGCGTGTCACAAAGGAGCGGAGTGTGACACCAACCGTGCAGGCTGCGGCACCAGGCCCCAGCTCGAGCCCTGGACCCCAACCGCTCCTTCAGAGGCAACCAAACCACAGAAGCTGGTTTCACTTTCCTTTTCCTCCCGAGGGGCAGAGGCCGGGCCTCGAACCCAGCGGTCGAGACTAGGCCTGGCACCTGCACTCCGCAGAAGAGTAGGCAGAGGAAAAGGATGGCGGGCAGAGGGCGCGGCGGGGAGCCTAGGAATAGGCCTCCTCTCCGTCTCTAGCGCAAGATTTCCCCGCGACGCCCCCTGAAGACCGCGCAGACCCCCCCCACCCCGCGGGCGCGCGCGTGCACACACACACACACACACACACACACACACACACACACACACAGAGAGAGCTAGTGCGCATGCGCAGCATTAGTTCCCTAGCTTCCCTCCCAGCCCAGTTTTCCCAGGTCTCGGTACAGAGCTGGGCCCGGAGATCTCTAGCTGTAAAATCTGCCCCAAAGTGGAATCTACTCCCACTCTTACACAGACAATAAGTACTAGCCTCCTCTCTATTTCTTACTTCTGGTTTGCCCACTACGCACTTCAGACGTACCTTCTCAACCAGCCTCTGAGGAGGTTCCCAGCTCTTGCAATACCGGATGTGCTCTGACTTCCAGGGGCGGCTTCAGACTCTTTACCTAGAATCGGCCCCCTCAGAAAAGGTCCGCCCCCGTGCCACGCTTAAAGCCAGTGTTTATTGGCCGTTGTCTGAATTTCTGCCTTTCCATTGGCTGTACTTGCATAAACAACGGTTGCTTACTTCAGAGTCATTAGCTAATAGCTTGTCGATCAAAACTCTGGCCACCAACCGGCGTCGTACAAATAGGTTTCCTCCTTCTTCCCACTTAGTAAGTATGGCAGTCCACGCCCCTCTAGTGGAGAAAGTGAAGAAGGGAGGCCGAGCCAAGGGAACCTGAAGTAATGCAGCCCCTGTGACGCGGGATGGGGTAGAACTGCAAAGTTCCAAGATTCATTCTTTATGTTCTCACGCAGTATTAAAGAGGGAAGCTATGTACGAACATATGGAAAAGCTCCCTCACGGGCACCTAAGTGCCTTGAATCTAGTGGAGCTTAAACTTCAGAGCACCTCTGAGGATTCAGCAAGTCTGAAGAACACAAGGGGAAACGGTTGCTCCAGCCAGCCTCAGACGCATGGACCCCAACCTAGAAGTCACCTTCTTAAGCCCCAGGAGTGGTCCTGAGGCCGAGGGCTGGGCGGATGACCTACCAGGACACCTAAATTTCCCTCCTCAGTACTCTTTCTTTTTCCTTTTGAGACAGGGTCTCCCTTTGTAGCCCAGGCTGGCCTCGAGCTTGCGGTGATCCTCCTGCCTCTGCTTCCTGAGTGCTGGGATTACAGGCATGCCCACCACACCCTGCTAGAATTCACTTCCCCCCCCTCGGGTATCGGAAATTGAATTCTGGACCTAGCACTTACCAGGCAGGTGTGGCACCTCTGAGCTAAATCCTCGGCCCTAGATCACTTTTGAAATGCGTATTTCTGTGGGTTTTAGTATAGAGGTCATTTAGTATAGGTCATTTTCATGACCTTTCCTCCCAAATACCCCTATATTCATACTGGATTGTTTCCCCAACCCCAAGAACTATTAATTTACCTCTGTCTACAATTTTGTCTATTCACCCATTGATGGACATTTGAGTTCTTTCCACTTGTTGACTATTATCAATAACTCTGGGACCTGTGATTTGGCTCAGTGGTTCTGCTGCCTGCCTCACAAAGAGCAAGGGCCAGAGTTCGATTCCCAGTTCCAAATAATAATAATAATAATGATGATGATGTTATTGCTAGATGCTGGCACACACCTGTAATCCCAGTATGTAGGAGGCTGAGGCAGGAGGATTGCTGTGAGTTCGAGGCCAGTCTGGGATACATAGTGAATTCAAGGTCAGCCTGGACTACACAATAAGACTCTGTCTCAAAAAATAATAATAATAATAATAATACTGCTATGAACACTGACACCTTTTGTGTGAACATAGGCTTTTATTCTTAGGTATATAGTTATGCCATGGTTTGTGTGAGGTTTATCCTCTTCAAACCTTATATTGGGGTTTAGTCACTAGAGTGAAGTGTTAAAGTGGCACTTAGAGATGGGGCCTTTGGGCCTCAGGATTAGATAAAGTCATCCAGGTGGAGCCCTACTTGACTGTCAGCCGCTCTGTAACAAGAGAGACCAAAGGTGCACACACTCACACATGTGTGTTCTTTGTCTCTTACCATATGATACCCTGCATTGCCTTAGCACTATGGCAGTAAAATGGCTATATTAGATGTGGGCCCTTGAACCTCTAGAGATGTGAGCTAAATAAACCTTTTTTAAAAAATATAATTTCCACAGTGGTTCAGTGGCCTGCCTTGCAAGTGCAAGGACCCGAATTCAATCCCTGGTACCAAAATATATATATATATATAAAATTTCCAAGCCGGACATGGTGGCACATGCCTGTAATCCCAGCACTCAGGAGGCTGAGGCAGGAGGATCGCTGTGAGTTCGAGACCAGCCTGGGCTGCACAGTGAGTTCCAGGTCAGACTCAACTACATAGTGAATTATATATATATGTGTGTGTGTGTGAGTGTGTGTGTGTGCATAAAATTTCCAGCCATGGGTATCTTGTTACAATATTGCAAAAAGTAGTAAAACCACTACAAGTGGAATTTCTGAATCATAAAGTAACTTTAGATTGAGATTTTTTGGTGGGCTGCCCAAGATCGAACTCAGGACCTTGCACTTGTGAGGCAGAAGCAGTGCCACTGAGCTAAATCCCTGGCCCAGGGTAACTTTAGATTTAACTTTCCAGTACTGAGGATTGAACTCAGGACCTTGTACTTGTGAGGTAGGAACAGTGCCACTGAGTTCAATCCCCAGCCCTAGATTTACTTTTTAAGGAATTATCAAACTGTTTTCCAAAGTAGCAGCACCATTTCACTTTCTCACCACAGTGTATGAAGGCTCTAATTCTTCTACATTCTTGGAGAGCTGTGCTTACCTCTTTTGTCACAGATGACACCATCACACACATTTAATAGTCCTCATTTAATAGTTTATAGCTAAATGTGATGTTAGAAAGTGCAGCCTGGTTGGAGGAGGTAAAACCTTATCTCATAAACATTAAAAAAAGGCTGGGGATATAAACCAGGCATGGTGGTACACGTCTAATTCTAGCACTTAAGAAGCTGAGCTATGTAGTCAGTTAAAGACCAGCCTGAACTATGTAACATAGTAAGACTAACTTTATTTTTTTTTTTTTGGTACCAGAGATCAAAAATCAGGTCCTTGCACTTTCAAGGAAGGCAGTGGAACCACTGAGCTAAATCCCCAGCCACTGCAACACTATCTTAAAAGCAAAACAAAACAAAACAGACTAAGGATGTACCTCAGAGCAAAGGCCCTAGGTGCAATTCCTAGTACAGCAAGAAAGGAAGAAAAGAAGGAAGGGAGGGAGGGAAGGAACGAAGTAAGGAAGGAAAGAAAAGATAAGAAAAGGAAAGGAAAAGAAAAGAAGATTTCCAAACTATCTTCTAAATTGGGTATACCACCAGGGCAGGAGATGTAGCTCAGGGCTAGCCTGTGTTAGGCCCTAAGTTTTATCCCTGGTACCACAAAAAATAAAAAATAAATAAATAAAAACAAAGTGGTATCCAAGTTTGCATTCTTATCAGCATGAAAGTTCCCATTGCTCCCCATGGTGCTGTCAGTATTACATCATTGTCCTTTTTAAAGTCCTGATGACCAATATGGTCAACTTCTTGTGCACTTATTTTCTTTCTTCTTTGGTGAGGTGTCAATGTCTTTGGTCTATTGTTTTAATCAAGATGTCTTATTTTCTTGTTGAATTTTAATTTTGGATAACAGTCCTTCACCATATATGTCTTTTGTAAATATTTTCTCCCACTCTATGGCTTATCTTTTCATTCTCTTGACAATGTCTTTTGGTTTTGTTTTAGTTTGTTTTGTTTTTCCAGTATTGGGTATTGAACTCAGGACCTTGCACTTGCAAGGCAGGCTCGGGGCCACTGAACTAAAAATCTCCAGCCCAGCAATTTTTGCAGAGCAGAACTTTTTTTTTTTTTTTTTGAACCGGGGATCAAACTCAGGACCTTGCACTTGTGAGGCAGGTGGGAACATTTTTAATTTTAATGAAGTTCTTTTTTATTTATTTATTTATTTTTGTACCAGGGATAGAACTCGGGACCTTATGTTTATGAGGCAGGCACAGTGCCACTGAGATAAATCCCTGGCCCAAAGTTCTTTTTGACTTTGCTTTCAATGGTAATACCAACATATTATATATTGCTTTTCTCTTTTTTTTTTTGTGGTACCGGGGAGGGATCGAACTCTGGTCCTTGTGCTTGTATACTGCTTTTTATATGCCAGACTCTGTTCACGATGCTTCATATGTAGCAGTGTGATGGCATAATCTGGATCTCTGTCTCTGAAGTCAAAGAATAAATTTGATGACAAAGGAGGTAGACAGGAGAGAGGGATGATTATTAAAAAGGCATAAGCCAGGGGTGGTGCCGCATGCCTGGAATCCCAGCACTTGGGAGGCTGAGGCAGGAGGATCACTGTGAGTTCAAGACCAGCCCCAGCTACATAGCGAATTCCAGGTCATTCTCAACTGCATAGTGAGACCCTGTCTCAAAAAACAAAAACAGAGAGGCATAGGTCCCAGTAGTCAGCAGGAGACCTGACAGTGGGTTACCATTGAGAGTTCTATGTCTATGTCTAGGAGCCTTTTTTGTTTTGTTTTGTTTGAACTAGAGTCTCACTATGTAGTTCAGGCTGTCTTTGAACTTACTATGTAGCCCAGGCTGGCCTCGAACTCACAGCGATCCTCATGCTTCAGCCTCCTGAGTGCTGAGATTCCAGGTGAGTGCCACTATGCCTGGTTGTCTAGTTTTGTTTATTTGTTTGTTTGTCTTGTATTGGGAATCAAACTCAGGGCCTCATGTTTGCTAGTCAGGCACTGTGCCGCTGAGCTGCATCCCCACCCTGTCTAGGAGTTTTTATACCAAAAAAATGACCAGGGGCCAGACCACTTTGAGTCAAATTATGGGGCTAGGAGGAGTTGAGGTGTGTAGTAAGTGTATGGTTGCAGGTGCCTCGGCCTCTATCCTATCCACGTGGTTCATTAAAAGTGAGAAGGAAGGGCCTGGATTTAGCTCAGTGGTGCTGCTGCCTGCCTAGTAAGTGTAAGGTCCCAAATTCAATCCCCGGAACCAAAAAAAGCAAGAAGGAAGACCAGGGATTAGCTCAGTGGCACTGTGACTGCCTTGCAAGCACAAGGTCATGATTTTGATCCCTGGTACAGGAGTGGGGGGAGTGAGAAGGGAAAAAATGTTCCCAATAGGTAGGAGCAGAAGTTTCATAGTGCCCATCCATCACCTTGTTGTTACATCCTGGACTTAATTGTCCACCTGGTTCTTGTTAGCTCCTGTTCAACTAACCAAGGCGTGGTTATCCTGACTCTAACCTGGTCCAGCGCCTCTATAGCTGTCAACCTCTACCTAACTTGCCTGTCTATAATAATAAATTATTTAATCCTCACAATGATTACATTTCAAATGAGGAATCTAAAGCTCAAATAGTTTGCCCAATATTACAGTTTGAATTTGAACTCTGGATATCTTGT